AGTGGGTGACAAAATGCACTCGCTTTCCGAACACACACACAGCCTCTCGACAATATGCGTTTTTGCCGGCGTAGCAGCGCTATAGCGCTGCTATGGCGCTGCACAGCAAAAACGCATAAAAACGTGTGCCAAAAACGGTGCGTGCGTCCTTCTTTCTGGATACGGCTCTGGCACAAATTAAATTATCCGGAATTGGCACTTATCTTCATCCAGGACATCTGCACACTTTAGTTTTAGTAGTCGCAGCGCTTTAGCGATTTCTGATTTAGCTGCTCAATATCTCTATGAATTATATTTACCACGACAAGTCGATTCGTCCCCAGGCCAGCTCAGGCCAGTCAAAAAAGCATTTTGTTGTTGCTTGTTTCGCCGGTAAGGTATCAAATGAACTAGCGCATCTGATGCACAGTTGACATTAACTGTACCATACTCCTCCCCGAACTCATTTATTTAGCTGCTGTTGCAACCATACCGCTCGGAGCCCTTACGATCTCCGCGTCTGGGGTTCTTCCACCGTGGCTGCGTTTTTCGTCTCGAATAATGCGACAGTTCAGTTCAGCGAGTTCGCTGAAACCCTGTTCGCTGAAATTTCTGTCAAAATGACGCCCACTGACCCTTTTCTAAGATTCAGGCCCACTTCTCAAGCTCATCTTTCCAGTCACCTTCGAAATCACTGGTTGCGTGCACTGCACGTAGTTCCAGCTCTCGCCATCGGCAACCCTCAATTCATGAAGGGAGCGGGAACCTTAAAGGCAAGATCCAAGCGATCATAGTGCCAATTAGAAATTGAAAAGCTTCAGCGCTCCATGTTGTATACTTTGCACAGCGTTTAATATTCAGCCCAGGGGACAGACTGAATGAGATAATTTCCTTGTAAGTATGCGAATTGTTTCGAGGTGCTCATTCGGTTTCTCGGTATTTCTCGCTCGTTAAATGTAGGACTTGAAACGACTCGCTCATTATGGAGCACTACTAGTCTTTATTCTTTCAAACAAACGTGATAATTACCAGTTTCGATCTTTCAGTTCCGTTGTGCAAATCGACTCATTAATACCTCTCAGCTGACTAAGTTATATTACTTTCA